AAAACAAAAAAAAAGTAAAAAAAAAAAAAAAAAGATAGTCTAAAAATTAATTGTTAATGCTATTTTTTGATTAAAGACATCTTTTCAAAGATAAGATAATATAGAGTAAGAATTGATTGTTACTATTTCTTGACTACTAAAAATATCTCTTTAGAGAATTATCTTTATTAATTTATATTTAAGAGATGGCATTAATAATCAATTTTTATGCTCTCTTTTTATAATATTTACTTTCTTTATCTATGAGTTTCATTTACAAGATTAGAGATAGAGGATTCTCTCTATTTATTCTATCTCTGTTCTTTTTTTATCATTTCTTTCTCTGTCTATATTTGCTTTTAATGATGATAGACAAGATACAACATATTAATTGAAAGCATTTTCAGCATTTTTTTTTTAAATTGTAATTTTAGGAAACAAATAAACTATAATTTGAAATTAATTTTTTATTTATTAAAAGCAATAGAGATATTGTGATTTTGAGAATTAAATTTTATAAATATATCTCTTAATATACACACTTAATATATGTAATAGAACATTATACATTTTAATTATAGAACAATAAATATCTTTTGAAAATTAATAAATGCTAATATTATTGGATAAAAATATATGTCACTATTCTTTTTTTTAATATTATATTTACAATATATTTTGTTATTCTAATATATATTTGATTTTTATTTTATATATTTGATTAAAGTACATGTTAATATTACAAGATTACAAATAATAATGAGTAATCTCTCATATAACACGTTTTTTTTTACTACAGATGTATTTGTCTATTCATGAAAAATATAATAGATATGAAAATAGGTGTGTGGTATCGTATTGTTTTTTTTTTTTTTAAATAAATAATGTAGAGTTATAAGTATCATCAAAGGCATACAGAATTATATATTTATATGATAAGGATTATATATCTTAATATTTAAATTCTCAATTAATGTCGCATTGATATATTTTTTAAAATATGAAAGAATATAATAAAATGAATATTTTTATTAAAATTTTATTGTATAATATATCATCAATCAATCATTATGTTAATTATGTATTTTAATTGTTATAAATTGTTATCTAATAATAAGAGAACTTTTTTATTAAAAAAAAATATTTTAACGAAGCATCCATATCTGTATATGTGTATAATTAATTTTTTATAATGAAATATGAATTGTCAACTTGAATATCTTCAAATATTTCATATTTGAAAAATTTTATATAATCTCTGTTTTAGAATTCCATATAAAATTATTTTATGCAATTGTATTGTTTATTTTAATTTAGGCTACTTATAATGCGGAAAAATATATTAAAATGATGTAAATAATTGAACATTGTAACGTGTAATCTATAAAAAATTTTTATAGAATTTTTTTATATAATTCTAAAATTTTCTTCTTATCAATAATATATCTTATAGAATAAATTATTTATGAAAACTATTTCTAAGGTTATAGAATAATTTATTAATTTTCATAAAATTTTTGTGGAAGCAAATGAAGCAATGGAAATCGTACTAAAATTGAATTTAAAATATTTTACATACTTACTCTTAGCGTAATAGTCATATTCCTCTTCAAATCGATTTGAACATGAAAATATAACACAAGAATTGGAAATATTTTCAAAACCATTTATGAAAAATTTATAAGCTGGTAATTATGATGTGGCTGTGTCCCTGCGTCCACTGAACGATACGATAGAACGAATACCTTTTACCGAAGTCTGAAATAATTGAATAAAGGATGTAATTTTATTAGAAGATAATAATGCTACGATATTTTTTTCTTAGACTAATTCTATAAAATGTTTATAAGATTCATGATTTTATAACATATTACAATTTGGAATTATAAATATATGAAATACAATAAAATATTTTTAAAAAACAATGATATATTAATATTAGATAGATATATTAATATTAAAGACAATAATAATTATAACGATATAATGATAATAATGATAACGATGATAATGATGATGAAAATCATGATAATGATATTGAAAAAAAGAATATCGAAATATATATTAAATTGAGTAATAAATAATTTGTTTATACATTAAATAAAATTAAATAAATTAAATAAAAAATAGTTTTTAAGATGTTATATTTTTCATCTCAACTTTGTAAATTGTTTTCATTTATTAAATATAAACAANGAATAAGCAAATAAAATATAAAAAACATTCTATCAAATTTTAAAAATATTGAAATAATAAATATAAAATATAAAATATAAAAAATAAAATAAATATATAATATTATAATAAATTATTATATTATAATAAAATATTAGATAAAAAATTAAATTTAAATAACAATGATAATGAAAATGATGACAACGACGACAATTGCAATAACGATAAGAATAAAAACAAAAACAATAAAGATGTTAATAATAATGCTGATAATATTAATATAATCACTACCAACTTTAAAGACATTAAAGATGACAATATATTCATACTTATTTTTATAAATCAAAATAATAATGTTAGGAATAATAAAATAACAGTTACAATAACAATAATAATTATAATAATTGTAACTATATTAATAATTATATAAATATTACGTGCTATTTATATAATTTAATATGTCAAAATATAATTCATAAATGATATATTGACCTTTTTCTTCGAGCCACTGAGAAAATCCTTATACATTTCCGATCGAAGATACCTTGAGTAACTATCGCTTTTCATCAGATGATAAACGTGCGCCTAAAATTTAATATCATGGAACATTTTCATAGTTTGTCCATTATTATTATTATTTCTATTGAGTTTTTTATTGAATTAAATTTATTCAGTCTAAATATTTCAATATTTTTTTTCGATTTATATATTTTTGCAAAAATTTTTTTTAATTGTGACGAAAATTTTTTGTTTGGAATTTGTACCGCTGTAATGTCGAAACACCATCGATCAGGTTTCTGTAAATGCTTCTTTGTTATCTCATAAGATTGAGAATCAACGTTAATTGGACAACTAGCATCTGGACCCAAATATTCATTCCAAATCTCGTTCACTTTATTTTTAACTTCTTTTTGAGGTAATGTTTTCAATTCCTGTACGGCTTCCCAAAATCTAATTATACCAAAAAAAAATTTATTTTCAATCTATTATATACATATTATATACATATTTTATTTTAAAAAAATATTCTAGTTTAAAATCAAACAATTTGATATTTTCAAAATAATTATAATATAATTATATAATTATTGTTATATATTATATTATACATTTATATTATATATTATATGTTTTTATATATTA